ATTTAGCGACGCGATAACAATGACGCTGTCATTTGCGCAAGCAATCTTATAACATAAAAATAGAACGCGGCTATCGCGAACTCGCGTACCGTAAGCCCGCCGTAAAATAATCCGCCGCCGCCGACGATTGAAATGTCGTCGCGGCGATGTCAGCGATTATTCTTTTAAACATCCAGTTCGAGGAGCTGGGCCGTTTAATTAAAGCGACCGTTTAATCAAATACTTATGATTATGCTTTCCTCCATCGGGTTCACTCAAGTTAGTTTACTCTTCGAGAATCTCTTCCCGCCGTGGTGGCAATTTGTATCATTTCGGATATGACCCAAATGGACGTTTCGCGAGCAACGGATGTTATTGCGGTGCTTCGACAGTTTAATAAATATAACTTTAGCGATTGTAAGTAGAAATTATCTGGTTTTCTTCCATCTCCTCTAGCTGTATATTATTTACTCGGTGGAGTGTATTTTCTAAATAATGCAGATAAACTTTTGTACAAAATTGATATTAATATCGAATATCCGTGCTGTTAAAATTAACGATCTCGTTACATGCTCAAATTGTTTCGCCGCTATCGATATGAATGTCTTTTTTTCTTTTTTTAAAAAAAGGAAATAATGAAAAAGACTCGACATTTTGAAATCGACAGTTTCGCTCTCTTTTAGAGATATTACAATTTTACCGCGACAGAAACACAAAATGACGAGTCCGTCAGAAATTTAGCCGATGATTCACGAAGTTACGTTTGCCGTTGTTTATTATCTCAAGTTCGCGATCTTCCATCTGCGCTGGGCTTTTCATATAAAAATAATCTCAGTTGCGAGCGTGTGTGTGCGTGTATGCGCGTGCGTTTATTTCCAATAATACGAATCATTTTCTCTGCGTAATAAGCCACTTTGTATGAAACATTGATATTAAAATGCCGATGTATTTTTTAATCCGATACGCGACAGAGGTTTCTAACAGACATTATTAAAACCGGGGAAAATATACGAAACCTATATCGCTCCATCGCTACATCGCTCGTGGAAGGAAATGGAAATATAAAAGCTGCCTCCTTTTTCTCTTCGTGAAAGCATTTGAACGACCGATCAGAGACCGTAACATAGACGGAGTTTTGATTTCGGTACAAGTTCGAGATCGAGCGATCGCGTGTTCTCGCAATTCGCGATGCGATGTATGTATTTTTGGAGTAGTAATTCGCCCGACGTCATAATCATAATCTCGTCCACTTTGCAATTCGCGTTTTCTTTCGTCACGCCCACGTCACGCCAATTCTGCATCGGAAATTCCCTATTTTTGTTTACCTATTTTGTTTTGTCGAAATCAGTGGATAAACATGTCAAAGCGTGGGATTGCGGTTCAGACGAAATTAATAACTTGTTAAGTTATGCCGGCTTGAATCGTCGGCGAGCTTTTCCAACTTTCGCTCACCCGCTCGTTTGCGAACATTTCAGTAACAGTTTCACAATTTTCCGATACATAATTGTTGCTTCCGATGGCCCAATTCTATTTCTGTTATGGACAGCTGCCGAGTATTAATATTGCAGTAGAAACACTGCGCTGACAAATCATACAACATGTTATTAACGCATAATGAATATCGCGGTGGTCACTGGTGATCAGTACTATGATGTTATCGCTTCTCATCAAGTTATAGTATAAGATATAATTAATTGCATCCAAACATTGAATGTACGGCCAATATAAAGCTAACGAAACGTGCTAAACATACGTTGTAAATTATTCTATACTTCATCATCGTATTTTTAATAAATCGATCGATCGGTTGTTAAGCTTTTGCACAATTAATCAAGATCAGTGCGGCAGTGAGCGTTTACGTGAAGATAAAAACCTTCAAACAAACTGGAATAGGTGGACGAAATTGGAGAACCATAAGCCGCAATATTATTCAACAGTATTATCACTATTACATTAAGCGTAAGGAGCGGCATTATTGCGAGTCGCCCTGAATTTTTGCTCAACATGATTAAAACTAATCACCTTGACACACGCAGCGCCGCGAAGTCACCGGATATCCGCTTAACGTAGGTCCTCCGTTAATTCTGCAGCGAAAAGGACATCCGGTACTTCCGGGTACTATACGGTACTATACGCGTGTGTATATCCAAGCGATTAATCTCTATCGTGTTAAATAAAAATTCAGGACAATCCGGAACGGTGCCGGCCGTATCTTTCGGCCGGTTCACCGTTTCACCGCTTGTTGTTGTTATTATTATCATCACTACTGTGCGAGAACTGTGCGAGATAAGGGGTCATGCGTGAAAGCGAGGGCAAGGGGGGCTTAATGGAAAGGATTAAGCCAGCGTATACATACATATAGAGCTTTACCCGGACAAAAGCACTCGCTTCGCGCGGTCCGGCCATAAAGCGGCATTTAACCGGAAGCTGCCGACAGCCAGCGTTCCCGATTTCAGCCGTACGATTCGAACGTGCGTCCTCGGTACCACATTCACCCGCCGGTCACCGAAACTACGTATTTTCGCGATGACGACGATGACGACGGGATAAACCGCCCGCGAACGCGCTCGGTATTTGCGTGAAATGCAACGAACAGCGAAGGGTCCTCCTTCGCTATTATTGCGCAGGTGCGCGCGATGATTAATAAAGAGAGGCGATGGGATGAAAATAAGCCGCAGGCCGCGTTTCGCAGCATTTGGAACTTGGCTCGTTCGCCGAACCTCCGTCGTCGTCAATTTCGCGCGCGCGCGCTGACGAAATTAGCAGTAAGCCGAAACACGCGGCGGCTACGATGTCCGTTGAAAATTTATGAGCTGTTCCCGATGTATCGATTAATCTCCGACATGTGTACGTAAGAAGATATCTGAATAGTCGCGTGCACAGTGTGCCCATTCGCGACAGACGTAAATCATTCGATCGTTGCGTTCATTGTATCCAAAAAGTGTGTCACATTATATTACTTTGCATCATATGTAATATGATGTGTTGCAACCGCAACTTGTCAATGGTGCGCGATTGAATGCTAGCGAAATATGTCAGTCTCCATCGCTATGCAATGCATTATTTGCATTTCTCCTTGCAAATGCATATCTCACAAACGTAGGTCGTAGGTTTGATGTTTGACAAGTGTGAGTCAAAGCTCTGTGATGGCTTTCCGGCTCGAAGAGGCAGATCGAAAAAAATTTTCCGCACAGTGAGCTTCGGAAATAATAATAGAATCTTATTTGTCGCTAGTGCTCAAAGAGCGAGACGTAACGAAGACGCGTATTGTGACGCAAATATTATTTCCGATGAAGATGCCTTTTATGCCGCGGTAATAACGGCGGTGTAAGGTACGCTTCGAAGAGCAACATGTGAGCCGAGTAGCCTTGTTTCCTCGAGAATCACTATTATGAAACTTGGAAGACGATACAACGTAGATGTGATTACGAAACTCGCGCTCGCGGAGGTGGAGGACCGAAATTCACGAATGTCGCGGGAACACCGGCGTGAGATATCGATAAAGCTCGCGGAACGGTCGCGGTCGTGGGCGCGTTTTAAATCTACCGAATTTATGTTCGCGATTCGTTCCTCGCGGAATAAAGAGGCCATTTGTGGTTCTCGTGAACGTAACGGATCAAAGGGCCACGGGGAATTAAAGGTCCTGCGAGATCGGCGTATTTACACGAGTTCCCTCTTTGCCGTCAGTATGTTTTTACAGCGTGTATATACAACACGCTGTTGTATATATTCACACATATTTAGAGAGTAAATAAGTAATTTAATGAAATATGCCGAAAGATATTCTCGTGGGTCGTACTTTATTAGATTGCGCGAGAATAAGTTTATCAAACGTCTTACGAATAAAGTCTGTGGCAAAAATGTGACGCTCGCTCGCACACTATATACAAAGTGTGTACAAACATTAAAAAGGAATTTGTCTAAAGTCTCATCTCTTCCTTCCTCCGCCGGCATCATTATCGTTGAAAGCCTTGAAAATAATGCCAGCGCGTTATTTCGCAAAATATATTTTCGTTTCCTGGAAATGCACAAAGTGATTTGGCGAACCTTTCTGCCCCATCAGCAGATGATTTTTTATAAAAATAACATCGCTTTTTATATTCTGTATAAAGTGATGTCAAAATATTCATTTCCTTATGTCACGTTGAACGTGCGTTACATCATTCGTACTTTTGAGTTGCACTCGTAAAGCGAAAAATTGTGTTTTCCACATGTGGACTATCAAGTCGCAAGATAAAAGCATTTTTTCACCGTAAGCGTGCGTTGCCAATTAAAAACCTGCCCCCTCTGTAATCTCCGCGTTAAAATATTATATTCATATGACGCGCTTTCGTGCATATATTGAGCGCTTTCGTTCCCGATTGTCCTGTTGAGGTACAAATATATGGTAGGTCGTAATCTTAAATGGGAAAACGAGATGCGTAATTCTTTCATGTCTGCATGTAAACTTAATGCGAGTGTAACCTCGTCGACGTACGTAATAGGTCGCTGCTGCTAAATTTTTCGCCACCTTTGCTTTTATTCACGAGAGTTTTTCCGGAAACACGTTGAGTCTTATTTTTGAGCTTTACGCGTTTCAGACGATCTATAATTCACGACAGATTCAGGACAGCGTTCTATTTGTAATATCACGTAACACAGAACATTTGAGAATTTAGAGATATGTTTCTTTAAACGTTTTCATATAAGTGGAATTCTCTTGAATTTTGTCGCGAATTGTAGATCATCTAAAATGAGTTTTAATCTTAATAATCTTTCGTACAAAATCCTTTTCAAGCTGTGTTTATGAAAGAGTTCAACAATAAAACTTGTTCTCTCTGGTGCGAGGATATCGTAGTACCGTTTGCAGCGTCAAATTTAAACGCTCGGAAAATAAATGCGACAACAAAATGATTCTCGCGGCAACAGCTTTGTAATAATAATACGCTTGTAATTCTTTTGCAAGATTTGCACGTGCCACCCCATCAGTGATATCCGATTGGAATTGTTAATAAATAATTAACGGCAGAAATTATCATTACCTTCCTCCTCCATGTCCGCGGCGAGATTCCCTCAGGCTTGGCCTCGATCCAAATTGGCTTCCTCCTCCGAGTCGAGTATCATCGGCGCGACGTCACCTCTCATGCACTTCACCTTCTTCGCAACATACTCATCCGCATCGGGCGCGCGTTTTCTTTCCTTACCGCAAATTCGGATCTTCAGGATTTACTGTTCAACAGCGCGACGCGATCTCGCGCTAACCGACGATCGTTCCGTCCCAGCGTACATTGGTTTCCCAGAGCAGATCGCAGGCGAATCCAATACGTGCGTGTAAATATTTGCCCGTGCCCGGATCCAATTAAATTTTAAACGCGTGAACTTCCACGACCGTCGCCACCAAGTACATAGTCCCATTTAAAGGTGTCATATTAATATGTTTGCTCGTCCTTACGTTTGTTCCTCCGTCTCGCTTATGAGAAAGAAAGCCGGTGATTATTATCGCGGCTCACATCAGCGAGAAATCTTCGCGGAATCAAACTTTTGTGCAGCATAGATCAATCACGAATAGCATCTTGAACAGTCAACGTCAAATTGACGCATTATCGAATACCGAAGTGTGATCGAAACTTTAATTTACTCTCAAGATGTTTCTTTTTTCAACTATGTAAGTCGTCTCTTCCAATTTGATCCTCGCTAAAGTATCCTCTCAACCGTTTTCGCGGCCGCGAAGCCCGCAACTGGTGGCCGAATTGCACGGAGAGACTGCTGAGAAGCTTTTCTACAGTCCCTTCGCGATAACTCCATGGTAAGCTGCGCGAAAACTCATGGTCTGTGACGCTTTGATCCAAACACGACAGTCGAGAAACTGCTACAATTTCGATGGATTCGCGCATTTATCCGTCTTCGTCGCATCGCCGAATAATCCTCTTTTAATCACAAGATTTTCAGTTGATTGCGTTCATGTCATGAACTACGTGGCACATAAAAATCTGAGAAAAAAGTTAGGATATCAGGTCATAAAATTTTTAATTTTTCATAGAATTCTTAGTCTTTATTTGATATGAAAATACAAAGTAAAACAATAAAAAGATTTATATTAAAAAATATGTAAAATATTCGAACAGAAAACATCTAAAATTACTTTTCTTTGCAACAGAATCCTTTCAGAAATATTCACCTTTAATTAATCATCTTTTCATCATTTCATCTTTTTATATGTACAACAAAATATTTATTTGTTCTTTTCACGGTAGCTTCATTGGATCTGCAAATTCTCTTACGATATCATTTTTGGTTTTGTTCACATACGCGTTCTAAATTAAGTGCATGTAATTTTCACCATTAGCCACATTAGCCGTAAGCTTCTAAAGTGCACTTTCGAGATCGCCGACCGGCGTAATTAGGTAATTAATTTCTTCATTATGCTTGCACGAGCCACGATAACGAACTGCGCAAATCATATACACTCGTTATAATAAACGAGGAGGGTACTTTATTATATCTGCTAGCGCAAGCCGTTGCATAGATATTTGCTCCAAGGATTATGAATTGCGGATTGGAGTAGGTTACAAGGATATGTGGAATTACGAAGAAAGCCTTCCTCGTAAAATACATTTTAATAAATGACACACATACATACAGCTAAAAGATGACAATTTTCAGTGAGATTGATAGACATTTTCACCACAAAACAGTGTGTTAATATATGAACTGCAATATTTATCTATCGAGAGATCACTCATCAGGTACTTGTTATACTACATATATAAGTCTTCAAATCCCAAGACTTATTGGAATTTGTTTGTTTTGCAGTATTACTGGAATATTGCTGAATGATCTTTTTCTTTTGTTAATATATCGGGTCACGATTAGAGGGACAGGAGTTGAATATGTACGAATATGTCTCGAATCTCAATAAACTCAATGGTTAAGCATCATAACACTAAAATTAAATAATATCTTATCGATCATTATAAGTTCACATAATGTTTCACATAACTGTAAGAAATTCATTGTACAACAATCAAATGTACAATAAAGTAAATATCAAATGGTATCAAGGCGAAATATAATTGGAACTTTTTGAGATATATTCAAATCGATTTTTATTTGAAGTCATTTTATTTATTCAACAACATGTATAGGTATATTTTTACTTTGATATTTTTATGTTTCGAGATGTCCATAAGAAACTTGAACATATTTCAAAAAGTTCCTTTACCTATATGTGCAAACAATCTCTATTACTACAATTTTGCAGAATTGGGCAGACAAATGAAGATGTAAAATTTAATTAAAAATAGAGAGGTATACAAATCAAGGCAGTGCTTATTTCCTTTCTAATATTCCTTTCAGCTGTATGTATTCGCTTGATGCACCATTTATACGCGTAAAAGTCTATATAATATATATATATATATATATACATATATTAGAGAAACTCCATTTCTCGCTCGATACCGACGAATTTTAACTGCTCCGTTGGTCCATATCTGAAAATTATCGCATGATTTTAATCGTTTGCAATTAATAAATTAAACAAAACATTACGGCGACATACCTATAATCAAAAAATAATTCTTCACCCGGCTGAATCGCTCTCTTTGCAAAAATACCTATTCTATGATCACCGTTCACCATCATCACTTTCGCATAACAATTTGGATTTATTGAGTGATTAGCGAACCTTATTTTATTTCCTTTCCGTGTAGCGTCTACAACAAAATCTGAAACCGACCAAAAACTTTTAATTTTTATTATTTTTCAACATTTAACTAACCACTATATCTATCTCTACTTACCATTGTTAAGATTAAAGAGGAAACTACACATATATTTATCATATACTTTTCCCCTCCTGTCAGCTTCGTCTTGACTGATAATTTCGCCGCAATATTCCGAGATGAATTCATTTTTCGCTGCTGATTCTTTCAAAAAAATTCCCCAGCCCGCTACATCGGATGGCGCCATCAGAAGATGTTTGTCTAAGGGGAAAAAAAAAACGATATAAAATCTCCGTTTCTGAGTTTTGTGTGGATGGATTTTTTGTATAAAGTATATTTCAAAAATTCTACTCATTGAGATTATACTGATTTTCATTCTAATAAATTAAATTTGTTGGAACTTACGAAGACCACGTTGCACGCTGACATTTTTGCAAGATATAGAATTAATTTGGAAATGATCCGCGCCACACGTTTGGCAAAGATCCGGATCACATTCCCTGACGGCCAGATAACAAGGACATTGCTTTGTGTTGCATTGCGCCTTGCACCTACACCCAGGAAATCTGTTCTGGCATTCACTGCTGCACTGACAAAACTTCTCGCAGAAGTTTTGTGCTTGTATACACGGGCATGAATTATCACATTGACGGCCGGGATGATCGCAAGGTGCAAAATTGTGCACGTGATTAGCACCTATTCAAATGAAACGTACGAATTAGAGGCAAAATAAGAAGAGGGGATAGTATAAAATTAAACTAACCATTTAACATACCCGAGTCCTTCTTAAGTTGTATTTTCCGGCAATGCATAGACCACAACCGATGCTTCTTTTTCTTTTTTCGCGGCGGTGTGAAGTCCTTGAGATTTTCTATAGCAGGAATGTCCGAAGCTTCTTTCTGCGCAAATTCGTAAACTTCCTTGCATGTTTTTGTTAACATGATTTGCGCTAACGCACACGGATTACCAGGAAAGGCCTTGTGTAAAGCACGGAACAAGCTCTGCTCGGAACCTGTCCACGTGAACTTGTTGTCCATTTTAATTCGTTTGTCAAGACCCAACAGAGTGAAAGGCGTTTGGTTCTCAGGCTGCGCTTGATCTTCAATCATTTCTTCCGATCTTGTGTCTTTATTAACATTCTGCTTAAAATCTAATTTGAACAGGAACAACCTGTTAAGACTTGCATTAGAGAAATGTTTTTACGACGATAAGTGATATATTAACCTTGGCAACTGCCTCCTTGACTATATTTATTGCTATCATTGCTATCTTCACTGCTCGCCTCATTTCCTGAATCAACGCTCGCTTGCTTTCGCACCTTTCTCGGAGGACCACCGCGCTTTTCGTCACCTTCTTCGTCTTTGATGTCTGCCGCTTGTGCCGCCAGTTTTTCTTTCATTCCTTCCTGTAAAAAAATTACGGTATCGAATATCAGTCTTAAAAGTTCTTGCGTGTTCGATAAAATGAAAGCTTATAAAAAAATATATATTATTGATATTATATATAATATTACATACAGCCAAGAAAAAATTGCGACATTAAGTTTATATTTTTGAAGTGGCATTTTACTGACGTGAAACCACACGACTTACTAAATGCATATAACATTCCGTTCCGCACGGCTCTGAGAATGGTTTCAAGTCGGGTCCTTTCCGTTTCAATAAATTAGGTCCCGGGTGGCAAACTTGGAGACCTACAAGCAATATTATAAGTTCACTATATATGTACTCTTTCGGCTGACTTGCGGCATGAGTTGAATGGAGAAAAATTTAGTAGACACAGCGATGGACGATGAATGAAATATGATTGTGGATGAGCCCTTGACGATGCCTCTGTGCTAAACAAAAAAAAGCTCTTGATCGAATGCATTAGTTTTGTATGCAATGTTGTTCTTTACCTTGCGGCGAAGTCCCCCTGGCTGCTACGATAAATCAGGAATCACAAATTATTGCAATTAATATACATTCAACTTAGAACGCTTATAAATAAACAACACTGATCAGTTGTATTTCAATGAAGTTATTTCTCAGTTATTTCAATTTCATTTTATCTCTAATTTCATTATATCTCATTCTGTTCTCTATTATCGTTAAATATAATATTATCCTTTATGCCTTCACAAAATACAACTGGAATAATTAGATAGACTGCATTATTATGATATATACTTACGATGTAAAAAACAGTCGTATTTAAAGCACCTTCTGCAGAACAAAGTATGAAAGGAATGCATTGTCTGTTCCCTGGGCACACTTTTTGCATTTATACCATCTATATTAGGCGTACATTCTGGAGGCAAGACATTTGGATCTGATCTCTCTGTTAATTCAATATACTTTTCTTTCAACTCCTCAGGTCTGCCTTTGTCAGGAAACATGCTTGATATTGCCTAAAAATAATAATTCTAAAGCTGTTCCAGAATTATATTGAAGTGTTATGTATATGACTAACTGCTTTACATTGAATATATGCATTGATGGGAATGGAACAGTTAATGTCTTTCCATTTTCAATCTTCTCTATTTTTATTTCAGATCTTCCTTCAATATCCTTTTTTTCATCTTCTTTTTGATTATCTTTTTCTCTCAGAGGTTCCTTTCCCTTTTTTGTCTGTTCCTTTTCTTTATCTTCTTTTTCATAATTTACCAGTGCATTCACCAGATCAACAAAGATGGAATCATCCATAAAACCAGCTTCTCTATCACCATGAACCTAAAGCCACAAAATTAATATTGATAAAATTTTTTATTATTATTAATTATTAATATAAGTTGCCTTATATACCTTTCCATCATAATTCTTGATAAGCTCTTCGATAAAAGTACCATCTTGATCCAAGATTTCATCACCCATGTAAGGAATATTATGTAAAACAGTTTCATCTTCTACCATAAAGTTCTGCTGAATGGGTGCCCACGTATACATAGTTGGTATAGGAGTTACCGCATTAATTATTTTCACAGGACACGTTTGCACATCACCATCTGAACTAGTAACCTCTGCTTTCTTCATACAGGAAAGATGAGGTGGAATGTCTTGCATAGCTAACCACATGGCCTTTCCATCGGCCCAACGTTTTTGTTCAGCCATAAGAAGTTCTAATCAATAAATATACTTAAACATAGTTGTAGCACAAAGTTGTAAGCAGAAATTATGTACTGATTTTAATTATTCAGCTCATAAAATGAGTGGAGGAAAATAGATTAAAGTAGTTATTTAAAATATAAAGTCCTAGAATTTAAATTGATTAAATGGCATTGAAAAATTGTATTCAAGCAAAAATATTTTCAAATCACATGGTTAAAGTGGGTAAATGTAATATTGCATAGATTTGTCTTAGTTTTTCATCGTTTTATGCAATAAATGGAGAAATAATCTCTTTATAGTCGGGATTATTCGAGAAAGAAAAATGGAACATATGTAGAGGTTAGGAGCTGTAAAATTTCAACGAGGAGAGCGGGAGAACGCAACTTGCCCGTCATAGTTTTGTGATTCTGGTTCCACGCGATTTTGACTTCGTCCGCACGCTTGTAGCGTTTCATTTGCCGTAAACGCATATATTCCGATTTCACTCGTTTCCTCCATTCCGCCGAAACTTTTGCCTTTGACATCACGATAGACACACAAACCGCGTAACAGCTCCGATAAAACCGTCGTCAATGGCCGCGTCAAACCGCGAGTACGCGCCGACGACGATACGATTCAGTACCGCCATTCAGTAGAAGAGATATGTTCCTTCCAGCTGTACCATGTTGCATTTTTTGTATTTGAAACGAAATAACTATATATGTAGAGATGGATGGAAAAGAGTAAGAGGAAAATTTCATGGAGGTACAGAAAGTGCAGCTGAGGAGATTTGTATCGATTGCACCTGCTGCACCGCGACTCTTGCTCGTCGATAACATTTATAGGACATTATTAAAGATCGATTGCGTTTATTAATAATAACATATTGGGTAAATATTGGGTAATATATGTTTAATATCATAACAATATCCTGCGGCTAATATCAGCGATTCAATTCGACGCGTCATTACAAACTATAATGTGAAAAGAGATGCAAACTTACCCCAACACCGAAACAGTCGAATCTTGCCGACAAGAGGAAGCGCATACTGTTCTTCTATTTTATCAGTATGACTCTATTGTTCTCACGTGATGCGATCGACATCGGTTGCTAGTATCTGAAAAGATATCGTGTTTAATAGCAGTCGCGTAGGCCTGTTGATACGTTAAAATGAACGTCGTCGTAAGTTTCGATATTCTCAGCACTCGTTCGCTTGTTTCATTTTCAACGAATGAGAAAACGTAACAGACACGGGGCGATTACACGTGAAAATTGTGCTGATGTAGAACGTTGATGAATCGACGCGTTCAAGTGACATTTATAATTCTTTATATTCTCATCGCGACAAGTCTTTAAGGGATCGTACATCGTGATTCTGACATAGCAATTGAATAATGATTATTTCGTAATAATGCCGTTTACCTTAATATTCATTCCCGATACGTTGCGCTGCTTCGGAACACGCGGTTAGGAACCGTGCAACTAGCGAGATGGCGCCAGCTCTCCGTATCGATACTTCGCAAATTCGAGAATCGCAATCGCGTAGCCGCGACTGTACAGCAGTTATCCAGCAGATGCGACGACTCGACGAGACGCTGCGGATTTGAGATGTTGTTCCGCACATCGCGTCATTCCAGCCAGAATGAATCTCGCACACGAATGATCGTCATCAGGAGTGCTGAAAGTAAGTATGTACGATAGGATGTTGTTAGGTAATGTCTCCGAAAGCGAATATCTCACGACACACTCCTCGAGAAATGTAATACCTCGTCTACAATAGAAGTCATAGAGTCGTAAGTCGTACAAATTGACCAATCGCGGTAGATTATTTTTCTCTTACCGGACTATGATTGGTCAATTTCTACGACTTACGACTCTACGACTTCTATTGTAGACGAGGTATTAGTGGGAATTTGGTACATCGATTGCGTTACGATAGTCCAGAGTTCAAATTGCTGCATTTTACCCTATTCCTATTACCTGATTCATCGACAAAGGTCGCGAATTCTCGCTGAGAATTGCAAAATTCCACGAACAAAAGAAGGCCGAAAGTGAATATTTCGCGGCATGGACCGTTGGGAGTTTCATTGGGGAGAGAAGTTCGCGAGTTTGCCGTATGATGTCAGCCCATGTATCTCAATTTGCACGTAACGGCTGTTCAAAAATCTCAACCATCGTAATGGCTGCGCGGCAAAAGGCAGGCTTGGAAAGTCGCTCCGTATTATCCGCTGTTTCAACTAGCCGAAGGTGAGATTCATTTGCTCACACGTTCGAAATTATCATGCGGTCGGAAATACGGAAAGTGAGCTCTGCTCGTGTATATATGTCGTTCGCTGTTTCGAAAAGACTCGAAAAGTATGCGATGAGTGCGAGCGCGTTTGAACCGCCTGAAGGTCCGCGATGTTTTGAAACGATGTTTAATCGTGTTCTCCTTGACATTGCGTTAAACAACATGTTTCTTTATCGTATTTATGAGAGTATTTATTTCAGTAGGACGAGTAAGTATCCAGGATATTACGACGAAGCAGCTTGGGACAGGATGTGGAATCGGGAAGCCAAGATGGAAGGAAGCCGAGCTTCGAGCCGTGTGCAACGATTCTATCTTCCCAGGTCTCTACATATTTGCAGGGTAAGATCACTTATTATACATGATGTTTCTGATTCTTTTAATGGACGTTTATGTTTAATGTTTTAATGATATTTGCCGAACAAGAGGTACAATAAAAAAAGTTCAAATAACAATACTTAAGAAATAAATAAATATTTCGATGAACCGCAACCATAAATAATAAATTCACGCTTGCCATATCAAAAATACTTATTTGCACAACTAAAAGTTGCGTCTGTTTGAATTAGACGCAAACGTTAAATACACAACGTTAAATATATGCAAAAAGAAGAATTTTTAAGAATCAGTTTGATATGTTGCTTTGTTGAATTTTTACGACTCGTCTAAATTTCCTACAATTGTGGATATCTTTGACTTGTTTCGTGAGAATATCTTGAGAAAGGGTAGTTTCTTATGAAAACAAAGATTACGTCGACAAAAAATACCATTTATTATTTCGGTGCTTTACATGAGAACAGAACAATCGCTGGTAATTACAGGAATGAGCAGCAATTTTAATTCCATTTCTGTCACGTTTATATTTACCTAACGTTCATTTTTATACACCATTATTCTTGTTTTCGTGTTTATGCGTGTGTCTGCGTGTACGTATGTGTACGAGGGAAGAAAGTTAACGAAGTGAGAGGAATTTATACAGATTCGCAAACTTTTTCGAGAAAGAATAGATGGACAGAGAAATCGAGACTCGTAGTGAGAGTTTCCATCATATATATACGCATGCACAGATACGAGGGTAGTCCCAGAAGTACCTGACCTAACAAAGAAAACACAAAAAATTTGGGAAAAAATATCTTTATTTCTCTACACAGTCTCCTTTTAGCTCAATACACTTTTCCCAGCGATGTTCAATAGCTTCGATATTCCTATTTTTGTAGTGGGAAAATCGTCGAGCTCCTCAAAATAGCCATCAAGCCACCTTGGTCCATTGTTTTGACTGTTCCTTCATCTCAGGTGTGAAGTGATGGACTCATGTTTCATCCATGGTTATGAATCGACGCAAAAACTCGGCTTTATTGCTGCGAAACTTCGCCAAACACTCGATTGAAACATCCTCACGACGCTGTTTTTGTTCCAATCGCGGCACCCATCTTGCGGCACAGCTTTCTCATGTCCAAATTTTCAGTCAATATGCGATGTACAGCACTTTTTGAAATGCCTAATACCACGTCTGCTAACTCGCGCACTTTCAGTCGACGGTCATCCAATACCATTTTGTGGATTTTCTTCACCATTTCTGGCGTGGTCACCTCATGTGGTTGACCACTGCGATGTTCGTCTTGGCAGCACGTACGGTCTCGTTTAAACTCTGCCACCCAATATTTTACTGTTGTAAACGAAGGAGCAGACTCCCCCAGAGTAGAATCTAGCTCCGCTTTAATATTGATTGGACTGAGACCTTTCAAATGAAAGTATTGTATCACATAACGATGACCAATTTTTTCCATGTTTACAAATTCACTTCGAGAGCGTTCACTATTGATGGCTGCCAAACAAATACTAAACAACGTAGCGTCGTCAAACTTCAAACTTAAGCTTTATAAGGTTGGTACTTTCTACCATAGTCATTCTTTTCAAGCAACAACCGCTATCTATACGTCAGGTCAGGTACTTCTGGGACTACCCTCGTTCGTGCGTAAGCGCGAAAACATCGTGCGTACTACAAAAATTCAGTCATCTTTCAAATCCATCGTCGCTGTCAGAAAGTCCGCTCGTTCCATTTGCACTCGTCTTCGCATCTCCTACATAATGAAACAGTTGATGTGATGGTCCAGGATTTGGATGAAAGAAAAAAAGAAAAAGGGGATAAAAGCGTAAAGATTGCAACTGGAACGAAGAGACCCGAAGACCCATTCGCGAAGGAAGAAGCAGATTTCTTTCGCAAACTTTAAACTTTTTATACAAAAACTATTCGACTTCCTCGCCTCCGAGGAAAACTTCATTTTTCAGTCCTATATCACTGTTGTTTGTTAGTATCATTCGATACACGAATACACATGACGTCCGACATGTAAGAGGATAAGCGACATATATAACTTAAATTAAATTTTGGTTTTAAACTTTCTGGAACAAATTGGAACCAAACATTTCTTTCCTGGTACAGAAATTTTTTACAAATTTATAAGCGGTTATACAACGAATTATTCGAAAATTTGATAAAAGAATTTAAGCAAAATTATTTTTAAATAAATAATTTTTGACAATATATTTGATAAATATTTGCTGCATACGGACTGGCGCTAAAAGTTTAACAAGAGGCAGATAGAAGTCGACTATTCGGCTTCTCTTTTATCTTTTTATTCATTTATGTTACAAGTGTTTTTTTCATAAAGCGAGCTGCACGTTTTATCATTCTGGCACTCCTTGTTTTTATATGTCTCTCGTATCTCGTCCTTTTTTGCGCATCGCATCGTTCTTTAATATGATCGAACACATCGCGCTCGTAATTTTGATCTTTCACAAATTAATTCTGAAATATGAAGCACATGCTATATAATAAATATTTATTAACAATTTTTTTATCGTTGGCCAATCGAAGGTACTCGTGATTGCTTTCGCGCAGGTCTCGCAGGTGGTTCTCTTCCCATTACTTCCTCGATAGATACGTACACGTGTCTAAGTAACTCGCTATAATAGAACTTCCGATACGTAGAAAAATATGACTTTCCACGGGAGAAATGAATCAAAGTGTCTAGTCTAATCGCTATATGTCATTATTTAATCACAACCCGTACATTTCTCTTCTTTTCGTCCATCGATTCGCCATCGATCAAAAACCATTAACGATATAACCAAATATACGCAGCAACAACCCAGTATATTCCATCCATTATAGTAAGGTATACCTAGTGCAATGTATACGTGTTCTCTCTACAGTGAAATAAGACGTTTAAGTACGTGTGATAATAAAACATCACGAGACAGTGAAAGCTATCGCGAAATGGACATAAACTTCGAAGTCTCTTTCAACGGTGACCGCGTCTAGCGCTAGGTCGTCCGTCAATACTTTTAGAATAGAAAAGTCCATTTGTTGACGATTATCCTTTGTAGAAAATGTTCTAGAAGTTATATAAGATACCTACG